CCTCAGTTTCTAGAGAAGAGACAGAGTCTGGCTTGTATTGGAAAAACAGATTCCGGGAAATTGTCGTCTAGAGGTGCTGAATCATGCATGAATGTCAGCAGATGACACCAACTGTGGCATCATTTCATGGGGACTTTATCTGGTGTGAACCGAGAGAATTCTACTTGATGAATTTTCTTTCAACATTCACAGATAATTGTTGTGCTGTGTCATAGACCAAAAGGGAAATTAAATTTCTCTTATAATTGGATTTGGTATTTGTAGGCTTGCCTGAAGAAATGGGAAAGGAAATTCATTTTAGATTTTTAAAAAATCTTGAATTAAAAAATTATAATCACCATGCCAGGTGCCTATCTGAATTCAGCCCATCATGTCCAGAGGAATGGTTGCCGGAAAATGATGATATGGGTTCAAAAGATTCCTCAAGCTTTATTCTTGTTTATTTGTTTGTTTGGTTAGGTTTTTTTTCTTTTCATTTTTGGTTCTGAAAAATTATTATTTGATAGCTTGGTGACAATGCAGTCTGTGCTGAGAAAATGGGAATTGATTAAGAAGTGAGAGACTGTGAGAGACTGAAAATGAGTGAAAAAAAACCCTACATAGCATTTACAGTGTAATTTTCCAATACAGATTTGAGTAGATACCACATGCAGTTAGAGTTAGATGCATTTTCAAGCCTATTGAACAAAGAATAATGTCTGAGTTTTCCGCTTTTCAAAGTGAATCCAAGAAAATACAATGCTAAATTCTACAGAGACACATGGCATTCATTTGAATGTGTAATTGCTCGAAACTTGGAAGAGTCAGTCTCAACTCTTGGAGGTCCTGACATAGACAGCTAGCACGTAACTGAATGTTAGAGAAGAATAACTGCAACAATAATCTGTGGAAATAAAACATTAATCTGTAAATATCAGTTTGCTAGATTAATTAACAATGATGCCAACTTGATGTATTGATTGTTAAATGGATCTGTGGATATAAGTGAATGTATTGAATTTTTTTAAAACAGTGTCACACCTTCTTAAATAGCTTTATATTTTACCTTTTACTTTTATTTTAATTAATCCACACCACAAGCTTTTGGAGGTCGACATTGACAATGGCCTATGCTGACGAACACATAGCCGTGCCAATCTTGGCTGCTTTTACTTCCCAGCTTTAATTGTTAAGAGCTGAAATTTCTTTGTATCAGAGTAATCACTAAATGAACAAGAAAAGACTGCAATTCAAACATAGGCAATTCACTTTGAGGTCAGGAAATTATCCCTTTCCTGGGAACTTGAACCAAGAAATTCTTAACGAATAAGACAGTGTAGAGAGTTGATGCTGAAAGTCTTGAGGTGGAGAGAAACTAGAGAGGCCATGATGCCTTGAGGGAGAAAAACTGAGTCAGGACACAGAGGCACCAGAAGGGGAGCAGGGAGCGGACAGATACTGAAAGGCAGGAAATAGTCAAATCAGATAAACAAAAGCGCACTGGAGAGGAACTGCATGACCTTCTTACCGCTGAGGTCACTAGGGTCCTCCTTCTGCTCTTCTTGCTCTTGGTTTGGATTTAACTGGAAACCCTTGGAAACACGGGTGAGTCACTCTTTCTTGCATGCAATGGAGGTTGACTAAAAAAACACATTGTTATCCTCTACATTGCTATGGAGGAAACTAAAGCAAAAAGAGAAAGTAAAAATTATTCCTGAGAAGATGGACTGTATTGTATAGTTCACAGCACACGGTAGGATGTAATGGAGCCAATATGCATGCCCAGCCTTTTCTAAAATTGGTGCTGATTTCTGTTTATCATACTAGGTCATTTAAAAAAGATGGTCCTCAAATCCTTCGACACTGCTTCCATCAAGAATTGGTGTCTATGTCCCCTGACCTTGAATCTGGATGGGAAATTGTGGCAGTTCCAACCAATAGAGAGTACGAGAAGTAATGCGTGATTTTTGAGACTAGTTTAGAGAAAATTATTCAACTTCTACCTGGCCTTCTGTGAGTGCTTTTAGAAGCCAGCCTGGTCTACACAGTGAGACTGTCTGGAAAGGCCCTGGGGACAGGGTGGGGGCGGAGAGAGAGAGGTCCTGGCAGCTCCCAGCTCTTCCAGCCCCCCTTCACTCTCACTTTCCTCTCTGTCCCTTTTCCCTTCATCTGCCCCCGCTACTAAGGTCAACCACGGTTTGACTGCAAGTACCTGAGAGACTCAAGTCAGACCCACCCAGCTGAGACCTCCCTGAATTACTGCCCCACAGTAACTGCAAACAAAATTATTGTTGCTTTTAGCTAAGTTTCAAACATAGCAATAAATATTTGATCAGGGTATTGTTACTTAACGTGTAAGAGGCTGCATCCAGAAACTAAAGAGGCCTATCAGATGTTGCATTCCCTCCTTGGTGGTGGGAGGGGCAATATGCAACACTTTGTGTTTTCCGTAGAAGATGCCCCAACATGTCCCAAACCACTAGACCCCTAACAGTCTCCTTGATTTGGTAGGGACCTAAGATTCAAGGGAATCTTCATTAAATGTATCTTATATCATCTGGAGTTCATGTGTCTTAAGAAGGCCTCCAAAATACTTGCCACTTACTGATCATCTGACTTGATTAACATGATGTCACCAACAAAGTGGGCAATTGTATGATTCTCTGGAATGCTCAAACAGGCCAGTCACTAAGTTATGAGGGAGAGAGTTGACATGGTCCTGGGGCAAGATTACAAGCACGTGCTGTTATTTATCTCACGTGAAGAGCAGTGAATGTTTGCCACTGATAGATACCCTGGTAACCTGCTCCAGCAAAAAAAAAAAAAAAATAGCACTTTTGGTACAGCTGCCATTTAATTGATTTGTCATAGTCCACTCTCATACTGCAGGGCTCATCTGGCTTTTGTTGGTGCAAGGCTGGTGGATTAAATGGGATAGGGTAGTTAATAGGGGGTAGGATACTGTGTTCTTTAGGTTTTCAAGACTGACACTAATCTGTCTTTTCTCCTAGAATACAACATTGTTCTGATTTTTTTTCTTTTGAGAGTACATTTATTATTTATTAAAGTTGGGGACAGGGAAACAAGGAAGGGCTTAGGACAGAAGAAGCAACAGGTGAGAGCCCAGGCAAAGCTGCTTTGACTCACTGGGAAAAGTCAGAGGAAAGGGGGTCTTGGAGACAGAATCAAGGGGTAAGCCCAGGATGAGCTGCTGCTGCCCATTGCTCCCCTGGTTGCAAGTCTCCTGGGGGCCCTTAGAGTTTAGGAGAAGCACTCCTGAGATGGAAAAAAGGTATGGGCATGCTCCTGGAAGGGAAGGCATTACCGTTTTTATATTTCTCTTGTCCAGAGTGGGAGAAGGGCAATGTCTGAGGCTTCCATTTGGACTTTCCCATTATTATAATTCTTACCTGCAAGCCAAAGAGCTGGTCACTCTTTGTTTCAATTATACATTCAGGGACCAAAGAAATGGCCACTAGTTGGGTCCATACACTAAGCTGAGCTACTAGGAGCCAGGTATCAATGTTAACACAGTTTTTGAAACTTTTCCCAGTACAAGGTTCCCTAAGTAGATGGCTGCAGATCCCTCTGGAGAAGCACCGTAGCACTTGCCGTGATCTCACAGGGTCCTTTTCTCACGAGACCCAGCCCTTCTTTCAGTGGATGGGATATGGATCAGGTCCAGAAACTTAGCAAGAGATTGTGACATTTTATTGGGGCAGGAGCTTTTAGCCTTTTTTCCTTTCTGTTATATAGACTGGGAAACGACCTTGTTGCCTGCTCATTCTGCCTTGACCCTGGAAATGCTGTATTCTGTTAACTACCTCCATAGCACTCTGTGAATCATGCCAATCTCCCCAACCTTGTCCCCCTTTATAGTAATTGAGCTTGCTTTGCTTTTGATAGTTAAGTGCTTTTCCCGGCCTCTATTTTTTTAAGCACCTGTCAGCATTTTGCTGTGTGGAAGCCAGGTCTGCAATAGCATCCTCCAAAATCAGTCCTGGTCTACAGAGATCAGCCACCATGAAGATTCTTAGCAACGCTGGTGTTCCTGACAAATCCCATTTCCTTTGGTAAGTGGGGTGTCCTCTGAACTTTCTCACAGAACATAATAAGCTAACAGGCTTTCTGACACTGCATAATATAGTCATTTCATTTTCCCCTAATTCCTGAGCCCTCAGATCCTTTCTTCTACCACTTGCCCCTCCCAGAGTTCTTGCCAGCAATGGTGAGGGCTCTAATATCTGTAAACTATTCTCTGTCCAACTTTATATTCTGTCTCCCTTTATGTAGCACCTCTAAGTACCCGGTCCATATATATTCTGCTGGATCTTGCCAGTAACGTTAGCTGGATCCTCCAGTTCCTTAAGTATATAATTCCTCTCCTCACTTTGCAATTCCAGCACTTCCCCAGCTGGGCCATGTTGTGACTTGACCTTCATTATTCTTCTGGTGATTACAAGGGGAGAGGGTAGATTATGAGGGACACACGTTGCAAGGTAGAGTCTTCTGTGCCATGTTCAAGTACAGAGAGGCAGCCTTGAATAACAAGGAGTAGGCTTTTCTAAGTCCAGAATGTCTAGCAGAATCTGAGGGCTTAGATTGCTCATGCTAAATCTGAGTCCCACTTTTTCCCAAACAGGGCCATGACTTTATGTAGGAAACCTGTGAAGGTGCATTTCAATCTCCACGGAACTCTGTTACTCTTATGCTTAAACCCTGGCCCTGATCCTCAGGTTTTTCTGCCTTCCTGCTGCAGGGGATGAAAGTGTCTTTAAATCCTGCTGAGGTGGCCCTCTGACTTTCACGCTTTGCTTATATTGATGGTTACCATATTTTTTGGACCATAAGACACACCTAGATTTTAGAGGAAAATAGGAAAAAAAATTTTGAAGCAAAAAATGTGGTAAAATATTTAATAACGTAAATAATACAATATTTCACCAATGTAAATGTAAGCAGAACTCAATAGCAGCATTAACAACCATTATTTCTCTCAAATTTGGGGGTAGGGAGTGCATCTTATAGTTCGAAAATACGGTAGTTGCCTTCAACCTCTCATTGACTTCCCTGAATGCATGGATGAACCTTAGTGACAGTCACCCAATTACAAAGTCCTTATCATTACCATTTACCATGAACCTCTCAAATGCCAGAAATATTGTACTTGCTTGTGCCATTTCCTTGCAGCAGTATCCCATCCCAGTTCGCCACTGGTAGAAGGTTTAATGACTGAACTGCAAGTACATGCCAAGGGCTATTAATGTTTTATCTTCCACCAGCGATGGAGTCATCGTTGCCAGCTGGCTGAAGTCTGCTTTCTCAGGCATCTTCTGGCACCATCTGTGGCAGGTCAGGTTCCCTAGGAAACAGACTCTGAAATTCTCAGATTTGTGTGCAGGAGGTTTATTGGGAGTGTACTCTCAGGAACAATACCATAAAAGGTAAAGGGAGAAGGGCTGGGCATAGAAAGAAATTTGACTGTCCTGCAATTACAGCAAAGGCCTCAACCAATCTTAAAAGGCATTCTTGATAGTTCTTTGGAGTTGTCCTGCCCTGAGGCAGGCATGTTAGACCTTCTTAAACCACCTCCCTCCCAAATCGAACATTCTGCCACCTGTCAGGGAAGGTGACTTTGATGGGGTCAACTCTTTGGCCATTGCCAGTTTCTGGAGAGAAGCTCAGCTGAGAGCTCCCAGAACCTGGGGGAATGACAGCCTTGGTCCTGAAAGGAGAATCTGGTTCACACCACAACACCCATTGTATCTCACATGGTGGCTATTTTCTGTCTCTGCATTAGGGCCTACCAAATACTCCTGAAAGATCAACTCTTTACCTGACTCTAGACACAGCAGAGCAATAGCCAAGGTGGGATAAGAGAGTGGGAGACAAATGCTGCTCTAATAAGTATTCCTGGTCCTGATGTCTTGGCTTTCCTAAAGCCATTCTGTACATTTGGCATCACATGATCCCACAGCATACAGGGAGTGATCTTGGAAAGGGCATTCTATTCCAGGCTTCCCATGAGGTTCTCATGCCAGATTAGGGACATTGCACAGTCCAACTGGTTGTGTAAAGGAAAGGGTACTGTCATGTTGTAATTTATAATAAGAAGTATATATTTGGTTTTCATCCTCTTCCTGGCACAGAGCTCCTAGGACCTTTGGAAATTCCTAACTGATGAGAACACTGAAGGTGTCTCTTGTCGTGTTAATGAGGTGACTTTTGGAAAGCCCCAGGTAAGCAAAGGATGGGGTCTATTTGCCAGTAAACCACCAAACACGGGGGTCCAGCTTTTTGGCATCTCTGGGCCACACTGGAAGAAGAGCTGTCTTGGGCTACACATTAAATATACAAACACTAATGTAAACAAAAAAATCTCATAATGTTTTAAGTAAATTTATGATTTTGAGTTGGGCCGCAGGTTGGACACCCCTGGCAGAGGGTTAGAACTTTCAGTCCCACCTCCCCAGCTCCAGGGAGGAGAGAGGGCTGGAGAGTGAGTTTCATAGCCAATGGCCAGTGACTCAATCAATCATGCCTCTCCCGGGAAGCCTCCACAAAAACCCAAAAGGTTGGGCTTCAAAGAGCTTTCTTGTTGGTGAACACGCAGAGGTTTGGGGAGAGTGGCGCTCCTAAAGAGGGCACGGAAGCTTCGTGTCCTTCCCCCATGCCTTGTCCTATGCTTCTCTTCCATCTGGCTGTTCCCGAGTTACATCATTTTATAACAAACTGGCAATCTAGTAAGTAAAACTCTGTGAGCCACTCTAACACATTAATAGGACCCGAGGAAGAGGTTCTGGGAGCTCCTGAGCTAGAGTGCAGAGGTCAGAAGCAGAGGGGACAACCTGGACTTTCAGTTGGCCTCTGAAGTTCACGGGCAGGGCAGTCTTGTGGGACTGGACACTTAAGCTGTGGGATCTGATGCTGTCTTCCCATAGATATTGTCAGAACTGAGTAATAGTTTGGTGGAGTGGAAAAAAAAACATATATTGAAGTTTGGACTTAGAATATCATTTGGGCCATAGTCAAAGGATGAACAGCTAGGTGTAGTGTAAAATCTACTGCCCTTGGAACAAGAAGATACATAAATGTGGAGTCTAGTCTTGGCTTTGCCACTCTTCAGTTAAATTACTTCAGGCACTATCACAACCTCTCTGCATCTCAATTTTTTCCACTGTAAAATGAGTATGATATAACCAAATGGTGTTATACTCATTTTACAGGTGGTTGTTAAAACCAGAGGGCCAATATTTGTGAAATATATTATTATTGTTTTGGTTTAAAGGGGAGTTTCTTTATAGATTGTAACAAGGGTTCTAAATTGACTTTATTTTTATACTTCACTAGTTTTGAATCACTAATGGGCAATTTTTTCCAAATTACACTTACTATTTTACTTTAAAATGGTTGTTTTCTGCTCTCTACAGAATTCTAAAGATAAAACCAAAGGAAACCTTATCAGGTGTGACTCATTGACAATCAATCTAGGGTGCGTTGGTTTGGAAACCTTCACTTGATAGTATAGAAAGGACCAATTTCAAATAAGTCATTTAATAATACAGGAAGGCCATTTTCTGCAATAGCAAGAGCGCAAGTGATGCTCACTGAGTCTCCTAGGACAGTAATCCTCTGAAAGAGATAGAGAGGAGGAAGACAGAGGGGAATGATAAGAATATTTTATATTCATATAGATTTTTCCCTTCATTGATTTCCAAGCATTTGACAAACTTTAATTGGCTAATCCTCACTTATCCGTTTGAGGTCAAGTAGGCAGCAAGCATTATCCCTGATTTCAAATGGAGGAGTACAGGTACAAAGAATGTAAGTGCTTTGTTTGGGGTCCCACACAGGGACTAGTGATAAAGCTGAGAACCAGTGCTGCACAGGGCCCTGACTCCCGCCCACAGTGCGAACTCCAAGATCCCACTCTGGGGAATCACTAGGGTCTTTTGTTGATCTTTCTGAAACAAAATCTTTGACAATTCATTTTGCCAAAGACAGAAGATATGATGTCTTTGTTCCTATATAACACTTGCTTTGGATCAAAGGCAATGATACATATTTTCAGGCATGATGAACTATTTCTACAGTTCAGCAAAGCTCAGTGCGGGCAGAAAAGAAGCCTTTTGTATGTGTGTTTAAGTTCCAAGTAAGACATTGATGTTCTTTCCTGGGGCTGAACACTCTTTGAATCCAACAGCAAGGCAGAGCCTGCGAACAAAACCCTCCTATTCACTTCAAACTGTAGTACTTTGCTAAACATTCTTCAGAGAATTCCCAGCTTTGTTTAACAGATTACCAAGGCTTCTCTTTAAACTACCCAGCTGACCCCTGTTCATCTAGTATCCTCAGTGTTGCCAGGAGAAACAGACTGTCCTCACCACATTAAAGCTTTCTGTGGGATAGAAGACAATTTTACATTAAAAAGAAATACTCTGATGAGAATTGCAAAAAAGCCTTTAGGTACATATGCAGGCAGAAAATCTATAAGTCAGTAAGAAGAGAATTATTTCACCTTAACGAGATTCACAGACATCGAACATTTTAGAGTCCAGTTATTATGTGGAGAAAGTGTTTTCTGTCCAAATTCCATTAAGTGCTGTTGCATGTTCAGGGCATCCTGTCCTGAGGCCCATGGCACCCGTGATGCTGGCACATGCCCCTAAGGAAATAAAAACCCAAGTTTCTTTGAACTGGAAGCAGAAGAAGAAAGAGAGATGGGATTTCTTTGAGGGGTGGAGTGTAGGAGAAAAGACACATTGTAAAAGGACAATGTACGCCTCCACACATTAGTAATAATTCCTAAGCTTTATAGTTAAATCAAATCACGCCCAGTTTCTGGTGCAAGTATGAATGTGTTGTATTAAAAGATAAAGTGGGGCATATTAACATTTTAAGAGTTTATCTGAGCATTTATCCATTCGAATGGGGCAGCACCAAACCAAAAGTAGTCAGTGCTCAGCCAGCAAGAGCCAGGGGAAAATGCTGAAACAAAGAGAGGAAATTATTTGACTTATTTTTATTTATTTATCTTTTTAAGCTTACAGCCTACCTGGCTATTTGTGAATGGTTGTCCTTAGCGTTTTGATTTGTAACCTGAGACATTTACGGGCTAAGATTTTGGTTTGCGTATGAAGGCTGCCACTGCTACATTCACCTCAGTCTAATGGCTTCCATGTTTAATTAAGCAGTAATGAGTCAGAGCTCATTGAACTTGACCCCAAGCACTGGTACTCACTAGGCCTGTGGCTTTGGGCAAGGTGTTTGATATTTACAGGCCTCAATTTCCTCATAAATCAAACAAGGGATCTATGGGATTTCTAAGATTTGTTCTAAAGGTTTCCCAATGACTAGTAACCAAAATAACAGATTAGCATCCCCCCTCCACCCTTTTTTCACCTCTTCCCTTCTGATCAGCTCTTGGCCCAAGAAAACAGCAGGATTCTTTCTAGTTGGGTTGTCTAGACGTGTCGTGTCCGGCACTTTCAGGGCACGCTCCCCTTTCCTGAGTCAGCTGCCAGGCGCCACTCTGGTGCAGGTCCTAGGAAGGCGGGAGAAAGAGCACTCTGGGAAAAGGAAGGAAACAGTTCTTGTTGATAGCTCGCTCTCTTGCCCTTAACACGCAATCTCATTTGCTTTTCAATCCTGAGATGAAAATATTGTTAAGATCATTTTACAGATCACCAACCTGAAATTCAGAAGAGATAAAACGACTTGTTAAGATCACACAGTCATAATAATAGAGCCAGGAATTTGTGGGGCTGAATGCGAGACTAAAATGCACAGCCCCTTGTTCAAAGATGGTGACAGCAGAGCATTGGCCCACGTGTGGGGCCCTTCTAAACTAAGGCCCTCTGTGATCACACAGGCTGTTAGCCTGCGAGGACAGCCCTGAGTGTACTCAGAATAGAAACTTGCTTTCTCTGTGTACTGTCTGGTTTGGTTTGGCCAGTGGGAGGCCAGGCGGGAGGCTGGAAGCTGGGATAGTGTGAGCTTCCTCCTCCAGCAGGCAGCAGGTTGGCAGTTTTTGTATGCCTCCCACCTTCTCCAGCCCACTGACCAATCGCCTCAACTCCTGAGAATTTAGTTAATGGTTCCCACCCTACCCCTTCACACCTAAGTGTCCCCTGTTGCTAATCACAGTGTTCTTCTTCATCCCTCACCACTGTCCACACCTTTGAAAATGGCCCCCTTTCAATAGTGACATCTGTTTTCTCTGGAGTATTGTTGTTTGGGCTTGCCCAACTCTCCCCTTCTCTTTTGGGAACCGCAGCCTACTTTTTCTTGCGAGAGCCCTTGTCCTGCCCCCAGGTACCTGGAGATCATATGACTCAAGCCTGGTCAATCCGGGGTTCCCAAGCTCCCTTGCCACTCTGCCTCAGGGATGCACATGTCTCCTGGGGACATTTCAGCCAGAATTGGTGGAGGGGATGAGAGACTGTCTCTTTTTTTTCCAGAGTCAGATGTTTCCTTTCTGTAAAAGGCCAGGTAGTAAATATTTCAGACTTTGTGGCCTACGTAGGGTCTTTTCTTATAGCTGTTTGCTGTTTTACAACCCTTTAAAAATTTAAGGGCATTCTTAACTTGCCATATGTGGAGTTGGGGGGGTGTATAAAAACAAGCTACCGATCAGTAGTTTGCTGGGTGCTTAGGGTCATGGTACAGAAAGTACAGAAAAAAAATGAGGCAAAGATACTACTTGCAGTCACTGTAATTATTGGCACAGCGATAGCCCGCATGCATGTGCAGAGCAAGGAAAGTTGTAGAAGCAATAAGGCTCCTAGATGTGTCCCTAACACCCTGCTTGTGCAACTTTCTCTTCTACCTGGGAGCTGCTCACACCCTTCCCAGCCACCATGCTAACCTGGCTGGTTTTAGTTGGATTTAGTTGGATTTCTTCAATTTGCGAACGACCAAATCCTGGCTAACATATCTTTCTACGTCCAGAACGCACAGCCAACTCATCCCTTAATTCCAGTGGTCTCAGAGTAATTTCCATGCAGTCCATAAGCTGTACAGCTCTTGTTCAAGGGTACTTGACAAAGACCATGCCTGCTGAACATTTCACAGAACAGATATACACATTTTAAAGAGAGAAAATGGGGAAAGTAGAAAATTTTACCAAATGTGAATGTGAGCTCTCTTTGTACAAACATTAAGAGTCATAGTACTGCTGTTTCTAAAGAGGGTCTCCATGCTGTCACAGAGGGTTACAAGGGCCTCTGACCAGGAAACTGGGGCTTTGTCAGCATTTGTTGTTTCTGCCTCTAATTCAGTCAGTCTCAATGGAGAGTGGCCGCTCTCTGCCGAGTATGCATTGTGGGTTATGTTCAAAAACTGCCATTGCAAATGGTCTGGTGCCCCTCAAGGGCAGTGGAAAGAAACAGAATTTAATAGGTGGGACCTGTAACTTTCCCTGGAGGGGGAGGGCAGGCTGCCATATCGACCCCCACAAGCAAGATGGGGAGGGGGCAGATTCCTACAGAGCGTTTGGTAGGGAATCTTCTTTTCTTAAAAGATATGTTTTGGCAAAGCCATTTATAAAAAGCTACCACACAGCTTTATCCATGACTAGACTTCAAAAGCAGTCCACTGTTTTAAAATAAGTCTTTATCCTTTTTAGAAAGAGGAAAACAAAATGGTTATGAAATAGTGATGGTGATGGTTAAACTCAATGTTAAATATTCTTTCCCCTTTGCTCCCATTAAGTAAATTCACATTGGACTTGGCCAGGTGTCTAGATTTGGGGTGTAGGAACAATGGTCACTACAAGAACACTAGTGGAGATTGTGCTTCTGAATAAAGCAGTGTGGGTGGCTTGGACCTTTCAGTGAGGCAGGAAGTGTTGATTAACCAGATGGCAGGGCCTCTCAAACGTGACTGTGTGTGGGCACCTCCCAGGAATCTTGTGAAAATGCAGATTCTTGGGTGGGGACTGAAAGTCTGCATTTCTAATAAGCTCCTAGGTAATAAAGATGCAGATAATCTGTGGATGCACCATGAGTAAGAAATAAGGGACTAGAGGACAATAGTGTCATAGTGCCAGTGATGTTTGGTTACTGATAAATGTTAATAATACTAGTTAACATGTACTGAGTGCCAACTATGAGAAACCAAGTCACAGAGCTAGCAAGGAATGCTGCTAGAAATGGTCTCTGAAGCCCATGCTCTTTCCACTGCTCCAAGCTGGCTCACACCTGGGAGAGCTCGGGCCCTCACAGTCCAGCATGAGGTCTAGACCTTGCAGGCCAACGAGTTAAGCCCAAGTGTAGCACCTGGCATATACTCACCAGGCTGCACCTTCTGGATAGATGCTTGGTCTCATTTAGTAGAAAGCATTAGAAGGTTTTTTTAAACAGTACCTCTGGCATTTCCAGACACTGATGAAGAGGCTAGTCTTTCTGCTTAACCTATCTGACTGATTGTGTAGAAATAAAGTAGCACTTTGAACAGAAGTAGGAAAACCTCTTTGTGATTGAAAAATGGTTGCTTTTATACAAAATACAGTAGAATGATGAACTGCTCCTCCAGGGCAAAGGCAGGAGGCAGCTCCACATCCCTGGTGCTGCATGGTGTCCCCAGAAGATAGATGCCAAGAACTGGGCACAGATTTCTAACTTTGCTCCTCCTGTTGACAGTGAGTAAAACATGCAGCTATGATGAACAAATGCTCCAGAGGGGAACTTGTATTTTGAGCAATTTCATCTCTGAGAAGAAGCCTGGATCCCAGAAACTTTTGTGAAATGGGTTTATCATCTCAGCATTTGTGCTGATTGGACGTGGGTGACCATGGACCTGCATGATTGGGAAGAAACACAATCAGCTTTACAGAAATGTCTACCCTGGAAAGCTTCACAAAAGAGTTCTTTTTTTTTTTTCCTATCTGGCCTCTTTTCTGAATAGTTTCTGTTGTAGAGCTCCAGGTAGAAGCTGCTTCAGGCAAAACTGGGACACAAGGGAAATTTCTCGCTGACATTTCCCCACCTCTTGCATCTGGGTTCCTGCACTCCCGCCAGCCTTTCGCTTCCAAAACTGAATGCCATCCGTAGGCACAAGTGAGCATAATATCTGCAGGGGAGAAAGGGAGTGGGAACAACCAATTGGATATTGTAGTGATTCCTATATATTTTCTATATTGATGAAAAATTAGCCATTTTTAAGGTGTCACAAATAGAATAATGACTTATGTTTTATGATTCATGTAACTGATTACATATACTTCTAAAATTTTTACCAGATTTCAGGCAGTTATGAATCATTTCCCCTTCCAAAAAGATGAAAGGGCATGTTTCCCCCTTCTGCCCAGCTGCAGCCATCCCTGAGCTTTGAGTTCCACATGGTTCTTCCCTGTGTAGTGCTGAGATACATTTCTAGGTCCAAGATGGAGTCACGTCAGCAAACCAAAACATAGACAACTTTGTGTTCCTATAAATGCTCTGTTTGACCAGAAGCCCAGTATATCCCATCAGCAAGTTCCCAAACACCATGTTTGGGCTCTAGCCTCACTTCCTTGTTCGGTATTCTTTGTCTTATAAATGCTTTCTGCCTTCGGCCCCATTTTGCACTTCTCTGAATGGAGACTGTCCACTTCAGGATGTGTTAAAGAAAGTTTGTTTGTATCGCCTATGTTGTCTTCTTCAATCATCTTTAATAGTAGTAATCAATTACCTAAACTGTTTACTAAGGAAAATCCAGTCTGTACAGATCCCGAAGACCACAAGGCCTGTGGGGCTGGGGTCTGTCCTGGCAGGAGGCATGAAGGAGAGTCAAGGCAGAGACAAGGTAGCCTGGGGTGTTGGCCTCTCTACTCCTTTAGCACAGGGCAGTGGAGGAGACCACTGCAGGAGCCTGGAGATTAACAGCCTCGTGATTTTAGAGAGTGAGCTGAGATGGTTTTCTATTAGGGGAGAGAGAAGTATCTGTGAGGAATGTACTTACTCAACAATAAACTTTCATCACAAGACAAACAACTGGAAATAATTACCAATACTGAGGGTAGTTGGTCAAAAAATTATGAAGCTAGTAAATAAATCATGAAACTGCCATAAAACGAAGCCACTAAAATAATGAGTTAGATCTATACATTCTGTTAGGCAAAGGTCTTTAAGCATATGGTTGAATGAGGAAAAGTAAGGTATGAGTAATTTGTTGTTTGTTTTTAAAAATCCTTAAATATATCACTGGGTATATACATAACATTTCCACAGTAATACATAAGAAAATATTAAAAATACTTATTAATGTAAGGGAAGATGTATCTCCAATAAATACCCTTTTATAATATTCTTGCTATTAATAATAATATAAATTAACATTTATTAAGCACTTGCCCTATGCCAGACAGTATGTTAAGTGCTAAGTATGTCATCTCATTTAATCATCCAAAAACCCATAGGATAGATTTTATTATCTTTAATTTACCTTTGTATAAACTGAGACACAGAGATGTCAAGCAACTTGCCCAAGGTCACACAGCTTGTAGGTGATAGAGCTGCAATTTGAGCTTAGCCTGTAGAGCAGTTGTACTTCAGCACTATACAA